GACTATAAACCTAATCCCTAAACCCCTAACCCTAAACCCTAAATAGTAGTTTCCATTTAATTTTCCATTATCCCTATATAAACCCAATATGGTTATGGACTCAAGTGGCAGGAGCCCTCAATTGTGAGCCCGAAGGGTTTAGGGTTGTTAAGGGTTTAGGATTGTTTAGGGTTTAGGGTTTAGGTTTTAAGGTTTAGGGTTTAGGGTGTAGGGGTTTAGGGTTTAGGGGTTTAGAGTTCTTTTTCCATGTCAGCCTGCACTACCTTGACATGGCGGTTGTGCTCAGCAGTAGGCAGCTTTGAAACTGCTACTTGCCTGAAGAGACAGGGCAACAAACATGCCCATGGTGACTACACCACCAATAAAAGGTAACATAAAAGCCTCAAAGTTCGAATAGAATTCAGAGACTGTATACTCGATTTACACAACCATTATACTTGAAGAGCGCCCTAAACTCTAAACCCTGAACCCTTGGTAAGTATTCAAGGCTTTAGCAACTGCCTGGAGAGTATTGCTTCGATCCAACAGCCACAGCGCTGTCTTTGGCATTGCACCATCTGTCAGGGCCTTTTCCTGGGTTGCTGTTAAACGAACTTAACTCAAGTTACTATCTTGGGGAAACCATAATGATTCATTACTGTATACACCCATTATGGTACCTAATTTGCGTTCCTTAACAGCAACCCAGCTTCTGTATCAGCACGGGCATCCAGCAATAAACGGATGATGTCCTGGTGGCCTTGGAAAGATGCAATCAGGGTTGGAGTGGCGCCACGTGAGGTCGCCTTGTCTGCGTCAGCTCGGGCCTCCAGCAACAATTTGGCTACTTGGAGTTTGTCATGCGCGCACGCCCAAAATAAGGGAGTATCACCGCAATTCGCAGCTCTATCCGCATCGGCATTGGCTTCCAGCAACATCTGAGCCATTCGAAAATGTCCCTCGACAGCTGCCATGTGCACTGCAGTGAAACCCTCACAGCAAGGCTCGTTCGGGTCAGCATTGGCCTTCAACAGCATCCGGACCATTCCCAAGCGGTTCCCCCAACATGCCAGTAGGAGCCTGTAGTCAGACAGTCTGCTGTGCACCCTAGCAACACAGCCCTTTTACCACTTCTTCGCGTTAGGACATCACACAAGCAAAAAAATACCTTGTGTGGACCCCCCAAACTTTAGTACTGGTATAATAGGAATATGAGAGGATAGTCCTTACTATCCCTTGTAGCCAACAGGGTGGGGGGTCAACCTAAAAAATGTCTGAAAATTACCAAAAATCGGTGGCACGCCGGTGGTTTGGCCACCTACGTCAGCCCTTGCTTCCAGCAGCAAACGGACAGCAGCCAAGCAGCCGCGTGCACCTGGGCTTGCCATAAAAACTTAGCCGAATGATGTAGAGGCTTCTGCAATTTGGATGGGAGTTGCGTGCACGATGCACTAGAACGATGTAAGGACAACACGGGAAGAGAATCTTGGACCTTACTTTGCAGAGGGGGTTGGGAGAACACAATTTTCCGGGGAAATTATTCAGAATCTGGTATTGCTTGAAGGTGTCGGAATTTAGAAGCCGCGGCCAGTCTAGAGTTCAGGGTTGCGGATTGAGGGTTTAGGGTTATATAAAGCGCGGTTTCGCTGAAAAACCTTGGCATTTCCTTACGAACACAAGTGAGGAAACTTGAAGCTCCTAAACCCGATGCAAGTAGCCCAAAAAACCACAAATTCAATAGGACCAACATAAACTTTCTTTCTGGTTGGGAGGGCCGTGGTCATCGTAATCTTGTACTCCATACGCTGATCCTGCAACTGTACCTAGTATCATGGTCCTTCATACTATATACACTTACCAAAGACCCAGAACAAGACCCCTATATCCTCTATTCCTATAAACCACTATACAATCTGGGATAACATTGAAGCCCGAAATCCTGAACACTATATAACCCCAATATCCTATAGGAATTTCCATGTTTTCCCATTGTCCCTGCATAAGCCCAATATAGGTTTTATATAACACCTATATATCGCTATAATTCAGCTCCACATTGAAACCCTAAACCCTATAAACCCTAAACCCTAAACCCTCAACCCCCTAAACCCTAAACCACCTAAACCCCTAAACCCCTAACTCCTAAACCCTGAACCCCTAAACCCTAAACAGCAACCCAGGCACAAGCAGCGAACAGAGCAGTCTCTGCTCGCAGGCTGGCATTCCATCGAGGTGGGGGTGGAAGAGGAGGGGGGGCCTTGGTGTAGGGCTAAGGATTTAGGGTTTAGGATTTAGGGCTTAGGATTCAGGGTTTAGGATTTAGGGCGGGTTTAGGGATCAGGGTTTAGGGCTTAGGATTGAGGGTTTAGGGATCAGGGTTTAGGGCTTAGGATTGAGGGTTTA